CGGCGTTGATCAATAACTGTGGGATGCGTCATGCATTTGACTTCAATTGCTAACTTCGTTTGAGGTGATTAAATGCATATCTGGCCTTTACAATGACTCGCTGTGGCCTCCCGCAGAACCGAGTCAGTGCAGCTTATCATGACAGGTCAGAGACCAGACAAGTTTGAGACCTGTCTGGTACCAAATCACCGACCCCGGAGGGATGGATGGCTTGTTGAGTCATGAGCGCGAATCAAACCATTGACCTCGTGTGCGGCGCAGGCCACCTCTGACCACTGCGCCACATGCGCTCTTGTTACATGCACATGGAGCAGAGTTACCGTCACGAAATGTCTAAGACGTCGGATTTGTTGTTTACCCAAGCATTTTACATTATTTCGTACGCAATTTTGTCACCGCACTAGGCTATCCTTTGCCTCGAATTTTCGCGTCAAAAACTCAGTAGCATGAACTGTATTTTATCAGCTTCTACAGCTGATGAGGGCAAAATAGACGCAATTGAAATAAGTTAGGGAAGTCATGGACAACTGAAAGTGTTTCTACAGAATGGTTTTTTCGAGACTTCGACGCCAGAACAGGAGTGGCCGACATAAATGAACGCAGTGTAGAACAATTTTGAATAGGAAAACGAAACGAGAACGGAGACCATCTTGTAGAACTCCTGCTTGCGACATGTCTCTTCCATGGCAATTTACTTTTTAGGAAGAACGAAAACCGCCAATGGACATGGAAACTCTCTAATGGCAGCAATCGATCATGTACTTACCAACTGAGAATCATGCCTTTTTGACACCTCATTGGTACGCAGACTCTGCAAAAATTCTGATGACCACCTCTTGCGCAGAAACATCAACAGTCATAAGTTGGAAAAGAAGCGGTGCATCGCTTAAGAAAAGCATTGGAAGTCATGGACGACTAGGATAGTAAATAAAATTCTCTCCTTATGCAGTTGGCGATAAAAAACGACCCGGCCAAAGATTAAAAGTGATTGTTGAGGCCTGAAATTTTTGCGAAGTAGTGTCAGCTCCTCAAACGAAAGTTTTAATTGCATCTCTACTGTTACCAACGACTTTCTCCAAAACAAAAGGGAACTGAACAATGGCACCCTCTGTGACACACCTACCTAGGCTGATAACAATGCAGCTGCAGAAGATCTTTGGAGTCGGGTCCAGTGTAGGCAAAAAGAGCAGTCAAAAGCAGCACATAAACAATCTAGCCTGAACAGATGCCTTCAAAATCTTAGCAACTAGTAGGTTCCGCTATCCTCGCCGATGATTGAAGGAAGGATCATTACTACAATTTGCGTTCATAAGGAATTGGTAACGATAAAACATCCATACCAATCTTTTTTGTTTCCCAACCCCCGTTTCAGATCCCAAAATCCCCATTGTTGAGGAAACACCTGGGATAATATTCAAAGTTTGAGTTACGAATGAAAGCATATACATAGGCATAGTTTGAGGAACTTGTAATATCGCTGCCTATTTCCTCAGAGCTGGTGACGACATCTGCATGTTCTTCTTGTGATACATACGACATTACATCGTCAGAGAAGGAAATGCTGGACCAGTGGAAGACTTAGAGCACAAGCATTTTACCCAAGATACATGATACTAGGGATCTTCGTACCTACCGCCTAATTTGCTTGTTTAGTGAACTCTACACGATCTTCTCAAAGATCACCTTTGGAACGTGTCGAAAACCTTAGATGAAGCATAGCTGGTTGATCTAGCAGAATTTCCTAAAGAATATATTACAATGGACCACATCCAAACCGTGTCATGCGTCATTGATATCTGTCAAATAGCGTATGCCCTTTATTCTGCTAACCTTAATCGGCTATGAGAAAGTGTTTGGCAGCTCCGAAGCAACTGCAATTCTACCAGTATTCGTCTCCTAAGGTGCAGGCTCGTCTTATATAAACATCAGCAGACTCCTGTCGATACTGCAGCACAAAAAGGTTACTTTTTAGTGGGCTATTCGGTATATTCATCAAAGGAGGGTATTGGCAAAGCGACACTTCATCGCCAAAGCTGTACAAGGCCGCAGTGCAGTGGATGATGAAGTCGCTCGATTGAGACGGAAAAGGCATACGGGTTGATGGTAAATTTCTGTTAAACCTTTACTCAGCTGACATCATCGTCATTTTTTCGAAAAGAATCATTGAAGCAGAATGTACAAACCTAGCAAAGTGTAAAAAGATAGCGCTCTGCATGAAATGAACGAAGATACAGTTTATGGAGAATCCGTGGTGGGAAGGTTATCAAATCAAATTGAGTAGGCCTCAAGACCACCTTATGTGTCTACGTTGGACGTTTGGAAACATGGAAAGCAACATTAACGTGGAAGCAGATAGAGAAGAAATCCGCATTGGTCGCGTTCTGGCCTCCCAAAGAATCCACCAACCAGATAGCAGGCCTCAACTCCGTGATATCTTATTCGACAGTTCTCATAGCGCTCTTCTGTGCAGCAAAAACGTGGACATTCACTACAACCACTTCAAAAAGTCTGACTGCCACCTCACAGATCGCTCATCAAGAAGCAATCGGTACTCAAAACGTTTAAGCGTTTTGCACAGCTTTGATCATTGAAAACTGTCCCATCTTCATCATTCAAAAACAAGCAAATTAATTTGTAAATACGCATGTTCGATCACATAATAGGAAGAATATTCGTCACATGGAAGAATAAAACAGAGGAGTGAACATTAAGGGAATGGAAGCGCACTTTTGATAGGCCACCCGAGCGTTAGGCAGACGGGTTTACGCGTAACGTCAACCATCTGCATCCGCAGATGACAGCAACTTCGGATTCACGAAATGGGTCTTGCGTACGCCACCATGATCGAAGCAGACCACCACCGTGGGCGACAGTTGTGTGAGAGAGAAGCGAAAGAAAACTATGCTGTGCCGCGCATTACGAGTAAAGACGATCCCTCTAAGTACCCAAATTAGTAAGTAGCCTCTGAAATAAAGTTATGTTTCATACCAGCCGCGCCCCTTTCTATTACTTTTCTGAAAGCACGAAAAGCATATGAACGTGTAAATAAAGTCTTTTCACATCGAAGCCATAATTACTATCTTAAATTTTTTCAAAGTGGGATTAAATCCTGATTAAATAACAAGCTGCACTACATATATAGCCCCAACGTGTTCGATCGTTCGACCATCCACGTACCCAACACGTTTGGCCGATAAGCAAGCCGCCGCGTATGTAAAGTGCGATTTCATTCTCCCCACTACGCGGACGTGGATCACCTTTCCAGAAAACAAGCCAGCAGCAAAATCCATGAAACTTACGCACCAAATATTTATTCATAATCCAAGGGCACAGTTCTGCCTTGCGAGAAGTGTGCGTGTGTGAAACACAAATGCTTTCCGTTTGCTACGCTATTATAAAAAGGTTTTCTTCAGAAGAGTAGCATGTAAGACAGTAGCCAGAGCTTTTAGTATCGAAGGATTATTAGCACTCTCCCGAAAATTTCTTGTTTATCGGAAGGGGTTGCTTCATTCTAGTTTCCGGATAACAAAAACGGCTCGAATTGCCTGGCACTGAGAGATGTTATTTGAGAAAAAATAGCACTGTCTAATTTTTGAGTTTTCGTTGTGTCAAAGGTTAGATTTACAGGAGTGGTAGCTTTTCTACATTTCTTAAAGCTTTCAACGAAACTTCTTCTCATTTACTCTCACGCATCGCTTGAAACAGAACAAGAAATATTCTATATCTCCTTGGATTTTCTGCTTCTTCTTCTTATCCTTGTATCATCTGCAAAATACCATTTCGTTATATTATACAATTTTGTGCCATAAGTAAATGGCTGAGGAACAACATGTTATTCAATTGTGTGCTCAGATATGCTGCGTTACTGCGTTGCTAGATATTAGATGAACGATTCATTACCATTCTCCTTGCGTAATGAGACCCACGCAGTTTACAGCGTTTCCGGTAAAAGCTCAAGATGTTAATGTTGATCATGCACTTGTCTGAGCAAAGTTCTTTTTTTTCATTTACAGGCTAATTATATACTGATCTGATAATATATACAAGCAATGCTATTTTTTATAAAAAGAACGGGCACTTTTCCGCTAATCTGGACACCATTTGGACCCCTTCTAAAAAACGCACTTTTTGGCCTGTTTCAATGCTTAAATAAGTGTTCGATAGCACAAATCAAAAGAATTTGTATAATGTGTCTCATTTTCAAAGAAGTCTTCTTATTGCGCTGAAAGAGCAGGAATAAAATTTTGCTCCGTATTGAAAGATTTCTCGCTGAACAAAGCTCTTCCTTCGGGATTTTACGAAACAGTCAATAGACCAAATCTTGAGAACTCCGCTGACGTATTTGGTTTTTATAATGGACCTGGTATTACGTTGTAGCAGCCAAAGAAGATTGGGTTTCGCAGAGATGGACCACTTTGACTATATTCTTTTCACTGCGATCATTAAGAAAAACGTACTTTTTGATCGTCTTTAATTTTTGAGTTATCAACCGATCGCTTGCTTCGAGAGAGTTTAAATGGTGTAGTTTATTTTCAAGAAAGCTTTGCTATTGCGCTGGAAGAGCAGAATAATAATTTGTTCCTCATTCAAAGATATCCTGCTGACCAGAGCCTCTTTCATATAGTTTCAAAAATCATACAATAGATTAAATCTCAAAAATTCTAATAATGTTTTTCGTTTCCTTAACAAATTCTCGCTGCTTTATTTCCAGTTTTGCGAAGCCCAATCTTCTATTGGCTGTGACAGTCTGATAAGAGTCCGATAATCAAAATCAATTAAATCGTTAGAATTCTTGAAATCCCACCTATCCATTAGTTGCTAAGATGATCAGCAAGAAATTTTCAAATGGGAAGTAAAAATTTGTTTTTGCTTTTTCAGCGGAATAAAAAGGCTTTTTTTTAGATAAAGTACACCCAAAATCATTCAATTTAGCCGCCGATTGCGGTGTTATGATGTTACTATAAACCCAACGATGATGTAGAGTGGTTCGTAAAAACGTTTGCGTCAGCCGGGATTCAAACCCAGACCTAGTCTTTCGAGGAGCATGTGCTAAACCGTCACACCACCGACGCTCGTGACATAAGGGTGTTCAATGTCGATAATGATTGCTCCGCTACACCGTAGACGTTTGACTATTGACAGATAACGCGTTGCAGCGTAGAAAGAGTGGAGTGCGAAACGGGCGTCGGTGGTGCTACGGTTCAATACATGCTCCCGGAAAGAGTGGGATCTGGGTTTGTACCCCGGCTGACGCAAACGTTTTTGCACACCATCCTACATCATCAATGGGTTTATAAAGTACACCACTAATGTCTCTATGATCTGAGCCACCAAGAGGCTACTTGAACATTGAAAACGACCAAAAAATACGTTTTTCCCGAGCCATCAAATTGAGGAGTGGATAAAAAAGGCAATTTAGTTATGCGAAACCTAATATCCTTTTGGCTGTTACAGCGTAATGCGTGGTATAATTCAAGAACCAAAGATATCGTTGAAATCCTTAAGATTTGTTCTATCGATTGAGCATAAAAACTCGAAAGAAAAAACTAAGGTTAGCGAGAAATCTTTGATTGCGGGACCAAATATTTTCTTTGCCATTTCAGCGCAGCAGCAAGTTCTCTTTGGAAACAGAATGGACCGCTGAAATTCCCTTGATTTAGCTATCGAAGGATTACTTAGGTGCCAAAAACAAGCTCGAAATAGGCTTTTCCTGAAAGGTCGAAACGGCGCCCAAATAACGGAAAGATACTGAAGGGCGTAGTGAGGATAGCCAACATTTTGACACTCTTAAGACTCACCGACTGCAAGAGAGCAACTTTGAGTTGAACACACTTGCTCTAAGCAGTGGATAGACGAATGATAAAATGTTTCGAGAGTTCCAAAAGATCCGATATGAAAACAGCTGTCGGTAAAAGAAAGTGGACGGAATAGTGGAATGAATTTAAGGAGCACTTGAGGAGCCGCTAAGGCGTAATGCTCTAACAAAAAAACTACACCAGCTACAAATATCCGCCATATCATACAAACGGCATGTCAAATCAGAAAATTTGATTCTTTGCCTCGAATGTTCCATCCACTCTCTTTCAAACATTGATTTTTCTTCAAAAGAACTTCTCGATATTCTTATTTAATCTGCAGTCTGCAATACTATTTGTAATAGTCAATGACATTATGTAAGATTGGTATAAGGGATAATTTTGACAATGCTTTAGTTTGCCGTAGTAGTCTAGTGCAGCCGTTGAAGACCGTCTGATGTTCATAAGGTTCAGTCTTCAGTTTCGGCCTTTCCTATCCGTTTAGAGTCAGCGAATATACGAATTATGCACAGAAAAATGGCAACATGTGGTACAACGATAGCTACTTCAACCGATCGTTAATCAGGACTGATTCTAATATTGTAAAAAAATTGATGAATTTCAGTGCACTAATTATCTCTGAAGGACTAGTCGACCTATATGCTCTACCTTTCATCATTATCTGCTAGTCAAGACGAGTCACGTTTAGAGAGCACACTCATGTTTAGTGAAAGCTTTGAACGCATGTTGGCAAAGAATAGTAATTGTAGAACTTACAAATGTTAACAGATATAGAGTAGTCAATGTTCGCGTTTTACAATTGAGCTTACAAAACTTATATAAAGTTGTCTTTTCTCAGGCTTCTGCAGGAAATTGAACCAATATTCATATGATCACAAGTATGAAAGCACTGCATTGTTAAACAGCGCGAGATACGCAAATTTTATAGGTTCCTAAGAATTTCGTAATGGCTCGTGCTGTAGTATCAAGTGATCTGTTATCAAGTACCTCGGTTCGCCGTTATCATATGCCAGTTGCGTATTGCTTCATTTTAATTCACTTCGTTTGGTCTTCAGTCAATTCGTCGGTCGGTAGCGCAAAACATGTCGTCAAGCATCTCCTCAGAAAGCCGTGAACTTCATGAGAGGTATCGACAATTATTATTGCCTATTCAAGAACCCCGTCATCTATCTCATTGAGGATTTGTTCTATCTAAATAGCTCATTTCCCGATTTTCATGTCGCGCACACTGCTACAACTATGCGTATCTGTATCGAGCACTCAACATGACCATTGACGTAACCTCAAAGCCGAATAAGACAAGAAATGATAAGGGCATGACATGTTTCGAGCCGTTAGGATCTAGTGCTATACATTCGCCTGTTTCGTCCTGCCGGGACTCATTAGTAACATCGTCCTTCGGTTCAGCCAATCCCTTGAGGCTGAATAATCTTTCATAAAGGAATGTGTTAAGATGAAACAGGCGACCGTATAGCACTGGACCTTAAAAGCTCAAAACATGTTATATCCTTAGCAAATTATACCGTTTTGGGTGGGTTTATAAAGGAGCGGTCGAAAGAAAAGCAAAATAATGAATAAGGGAGTCGCCAGGATGTGCGGGGAATGTATTGAGAAAGACGAAATAATGTGACTACGTCCACCTTTTCGTTTCGATTTCGTCATTAGCTAAAGATTACTTAGCGCTTTCGCACACGTACTTGAGAGGGTGAGCTGGGATAGTCTTACCACTCAGATGGAAGAGGAAATCCATAAATTCGACATGAATAATTGATAAGGAATTAAATACACCATTGTGCTTGCAAAAATCTCCGAAGTCATATTGTATGAACTCATGGGGCGACGAGGAATATTATGCTCTCCCTAATAGATATCATGGTTGCCAGAGTACCTACAACCGGTGCCTTGCCTCTCGTTCAAGCAATAATATCGCTTAAAAATATTTTTTGATTCAACCGCCTCTAGTAATGGAATGTTGTCCAAGATATCCTACTTATTCTGAACGATGCGTAAAACTTTTTACTCAGCTGGGACGCGAACGCGCATTACCCTGCTCTGGGCGCAGCTCTAACATATTGCACTACTGACGTTCGCTTTGCCACATTTTCTACGCTACAACTTATCTATCCGTCAACAACAAACCGTCAACGGTTTTAACCTCTGTTGTCAATATTGACCTTAACCCACTCACGCTAACAGATATTGTGTAATAGATGATCAAACAGAATTCTTTCTATCACGCGCCTCCGGATAAGGTGAAATGCGGGGTCGAGCTCCGCCTGGAGCAAAAGTTTTGCATATTTGTCAGCACCATTGATTACATCTAAAACATCACACCACTGCTAAAATCAGAAAAATAAAAAAAATCCTGTTTAATCATGAAGCATCCAATATACGCCATTGTGACTCAATTCAATGTCGATATCAACTACCCTAGAAAAACCGAAGGCCAGATGGTCGGTCAGTCTAGCGCTATGAAGCAGTTAGGTAAAAAGTCTTTGGAGTAAAGTGTATCAAAGCGAAGCAGACGCCTGTAAAACATATTTTGATTGGCCTTCGCGGTGTGTACAAGAAGAGAATCGGGATGAAAATCTTTGAAAATGGTTCAAGAAATAGCCATTTCTAAGAGCTGCAAATTTGCAATTCTTTGGATAAAGAAGAGATTTGATATCGATTTCAACTACCCAGGCCAAAACCGAGTTGAAGAAATAATGCGGCTCCAAACGATAATTGTGCGAAAAGCAATTTGCCTTCAGATTTGCATTCTTTTCAAGAGTAATAAGTGTACCTGTTTAGCGTTGACCAAATAAGCCAAGCATAGAGAAATTGGTCACAATTAACGAAATAACGTAATATATTCATATCCCGGGGAGCGCCGTGCCGAGTGCAAGATCCGAGCTCCACCCCCCACCTGTTTCGGCAGCCAACAACAACGCCCAACGGAATGTCACAATCAGGCTGTCCTTGACATTGCGAAGGAACTCGATCAATCAACATTCTAGGACGCTCAAGAATACATGAAAAAACAGCTGAATGCTAGACGTACTGAGATCCGCACAGTAGAAAAAGCGCTGTGAAGACGGATCATTGAAGCGTCAGAAAAATATTTTTATAAAAAAAATTTAAAGCACCTTCTGTTTTGCCATTGCTATCATGATCATCTCTCTACAGTGCAAAAAAGCCTAGGCTCTTTTCTGTTATACAAAGGCAATGGAGAAGCGACCCCTTTCGCTGGACCAAAAGTTCTTATTAGAATATTCGCATTTATTCGAAATCTCAAATCTGTCTCTATTACGTTGCCTGTTTCTTTTTCAAAAGGGCGTTTTTGTAACGCTATCACAGAAAGAAAACATTCGTGTTCCACACACGCACATTTTTCGTAAGAGAAAACTGTCTCGTGAAATTGTGAGTAACCATTCCATAGCATAAGATTGGAGAATATTGATGTTAGGCTCACTTTATGGGAAGACTGTTCTGCAGTACATTAGGAAAAATAAGATTGAGTTCCACATAGGCGGAGCACTTGCTTACCGGCCACATATGTGATATATATGTACTGAACGTGGCTCAATACGGCTTTCCGCAGGCGGTCGCTCTATCGCTCTGGCGCGCTATACATCTGTAGTGCAATTCTTGTTATCTGACTCAAGATGTTCTCTCCGCTTCGGAAGAAACTTCAGATTCTGATACTGCAAAATCACCTCTTCTCGATCTATGCTTTGAGTAATTCCAGTAAAGTAAGAGTGAAAGCGCGTGGTCGTTGTGAGACATAATTATGTTCCGCATGCTTCAGCGTCATAGAGAGATCTTTTCAAAAAATAGTATGTGGCGCAGTACTCAGAGATTTGAGCCATCAGTAAGTTGCAAACGCTCTTGTGAAAAGTTCTTCTCCAGCGAAAGGGACATTTCATCGTTTCTACCGAACAACAGAAAAAAATCCACACTTCTAACCAATGTAGTCGTGAGAAGAAGTTCATGGCTTTTTTCTTAGATTAAACAACTTTTTCCGTTATATATAGTAATGATCTATCTGAACTCTGTTTGTGATTTTCGCCAAATATTTGAGAAAAACGAGCACGTGCACTGATGAGAGGGTCCACTCACAGCAATGGGATAAGCAAATACACGCTTTTTAAAACGGCCTAAAAGCGGTGATCATATAAGCAAAGCTTTCTTTCATATTTAAACTATTCTTTGATTTTTTACTTGAATAATTTAGAGCAACAATGCTCCTTTCTCCCTGTGATTCCTGTCACAGC